TTGCCGAGACTGGTATCTCTTCCAAGAGACACGAACGACAAACCCAGAGAGAGAACGACAGCAGAGTGCTAGTTGATCTTGCACAGGCTTTACCTATCTTGCAGAACAGCAACCCAGCGCCCTGCCAGACGGTTGACCCCGGAGGCAGGATCGTGACACTTCTGGGTAATATCGAGGGTTCTATATCTATAATTACCTATGTTCTATACCGACGATAAAGTCCTTACGGCCCCTAACGATACGTCCCTCCAAATGGGTCTCACATTTGTAGGCTCCGTTATAACGGATATCGACGTAGATGAGTTTAACTTATCCGAGGCTGAGATAGCGCCTACTCCCTCTAACGATCTCTTCGACCTTAACTTTACGTAGGACTGTGGTTCTAGCCTCCTTACCACGCCGGCGAACTCGTCACAGATGGATATCGCCATATCCGAAGACTCCTCGTCCATGTCTGTACCGGCGCCGCTGACGATGGAAACAAGTAACGCGGAATTTAACAACACTATGTGGGACTACATCGATATGGATCCGACCTTTCCAGGCGCCGCTGAGGAGTGGTCTCACATATCCGGGTACTTCTCAGCTGTACAACAGTCCTCTATGTCTACCTCTTACAGCGAAGACATCAACGTCGATATTGAATGGGACACCTACTTCCAGCAAGCCAAAACAAACGCATATCCGTCGCAAATGGAAGTCGACATCGCTGGCCTAACCTATGAAGCCGAGGACGTAGCGCGGCAGTCGGAGCTGATCGGGAGAATCGACTCTATTAGCAACGATGAAACGCCTTGCTTAGTTATCGAGCAAGTCGAAGACACAGCCCATCCTAGGCCATAGTCGTCATCGCTTGTACCTTCAGCCGCAGCCAGTCTGTCTTCTGTGGAACAGGCATACGAATCTGTTCCTGAGTCACCTAGCGAGAACAATGATCGTGGAGAACCTTGTACGAAGTGGTTTGTTTGTTGTGTATCCATGGCTTGGTGATGAAAAGGGTTGGTCGAAATGGGCAAATCGCGTGAACGAGCCGCGGGCATTGATCTCAGAGGACAGGGAGCTGCCGCTTCATGCCGATTCCATTCAAGATGCCCTACTGTAGCAGTGGCTCAGACGTTTGGACGTTTTTCTCTTGCACTTCAACCATTGGCGCCACTGCGGCACGGAGCCCCCCATCCCTCCTCCGTGGTCAAGTTTATTAGCTTTGACAGCCCACTAAACTCAGTTTACAGAACATGTCAGAGTAGCGGCTGTCTGGTGCTGACATCACGGAATTCCCCCTTTTCTCTGTACAGGAGTCTGATGTCAACTGCATATAGCCATCTTCGTCACAATTAGTTCTCGCTGGCAGACCTCGACACTCTCACCGGGTCATCCCACGTCAACATGTCGATCATCGACGAGGAAGAATGGTGTGCGGCCGGGATCTTGACCTGCATCTGGCCCGAGAAACTCCGCAGCTCATTAAGTTGAACCCGCGCTCTATGTGGCATGTTTAATGGTCCATATCGTCCCATTAGGCTTTGATGTGGTATTTTCGCCATTTAGCCCGGCGGTTCAGCTTTTGGAAGTATCGATTGTGGAAGCCCTCGTAGGAGGCACGTCGGCTGAAGCAGATATTTTAATGGCTCACATTTGATGCGGCATTGCGAAGGAGGGATCTATACGCGACGTGCCGGCGAGGAAGGTAAGATTTGAAGCGGAAAAGTTCACCCATCAAATGTACCTCGAAAGTACCTCTGTAATGATCGGGGAAAGCTGAAAATATTCGCAAGATAATGGGCGAGTTTACATGCCACCAGCGAGACTGTCCGCCCTACGCCTGACAAGGTAGCACGACATAAAGCAATTAATTGCTATCGCCGAGGCTGCAATGCTAGAGCTGAAAGACCAGACGTGTGGGTACTGACAAAGCCATTCCCCGTTCGTCAATCGTCACATTAGCCACTAAAGGGAGTGGTCAGGATGGTCGGGCAGTCGAGGAAGGGATCTCTTGCTGTTGCCGCAGTACCAGCCGAGGCTTTACTTGGAGGGAAGAAGAGCAGTGATGTGATTAAGACCATTCTTGGTGAAAGGGCATATCAACCTGTATCTGGCTCACCAGAGCGTTGTGCTGCAATGCTGCCCGACGGCGACGCTAGTCTTATTCGTGGCGCATAGTCTCGGGTCTTTCCGTCACTGGACGGAACCTCCCCTTGATGGCTTATTGTGAGCCTTTAAGGATTTTGTTTCGCATCGATATGGAACTTTCCGAGGAACCTTGCTGGTCCCCTCACCTGCGAGCACCTAGCATGTGAATGTTTGCCTGTTCGGATGTTATCATTCCATTGCACGATTGTTGGAACACATCGCCGGTAGGTGCATGAGCTTCTTGGCGATACGACGAGCACCATTTGGAATCTGAAGGTGGCACGGGGTCCGCCAAGGCGCTAATCACGGGATTACTGGGGCCAAAACCCCCCCAACCACCGAATCGGCGATGGCATTTGCGACGACGTCACCGTCGCTGACGTCGGTTTAAGCGCATGGTTTTTGAACCATTCTGTTGAGTCAATCATTCTAAACGCGTCAAACATCTCCATTTTCCATTATCGTCATTTTGCGCCGAGAAACGCGATGCCCGGTCAAGAGCATTCTACGCCGCGGCGGGCAAGGCCCCTTGGCACCATATGGTGGCTGCAGAAGCGCGGCCTCCTGACGACTGATGGCCGCACCCATGATAACGACGGTAATAGGCTGTTCTCGAAGGCTGAGGTCTTCGCGGACTTCAACGTTCCGAAGAGAACTGGCTTCAGGTGGCTTCGTGCTATTCCTGAACCTCTTCAAGAAACAGCAGAGTCCGAGGAGACTTCGCAGGAGGGGTCGCCATCGCCGTCACCGTTACCGAAGAGGTAGGACTCCGACTATTACCATTATATGCGCCGTACGGCTCACAACCCTCTCGTCGATAATAAACGCGGTAGGCGCGTCGAATTTAGCGTTGAGGACGGTAAACATATCTATCATTGGCTTCTGGACCTCCCTGAAGCTGATAAATGGCAGGGCTACCGCCTACCGTGGCTAATCGCGGCAGTAGAGTCGGGCCTCGAGGTCACCTATTGTGAGAGGGTATTCAGGAACCAGATGCGCAGGAGCTTCAAGTACTATACATGCGTCTTAACGAGGAAGGAAGGGCTCCCCAACTACGCTAAGAAAGCACGAATTCGATGGGTTCGATAGCGCCTTCGAGAGGGCAGGTACGATAACGAGGAATGGCTGAAAACATCGTTCTTAATAGATGAAGTTCACTTCGGATTCCAGCCGGCACTCACCACTAAGGTCCACCGCCGTCCATAGGACCGAAACGAACATTGGGTAGTATAGCTAGAGGACCCTCGCTAGAAGTCGAAGAAGCTCAGAAACGCTAGAAACGCCATAAAAAACGACGAACATGACATTCAGGGTGCCGAAGAGCTAGAGGACGAGAACGAACAGACCCTTATGTATGTAGTCTGCGCAGTCGGTTGGAACTTCAGGTCGAAGTTATACTGGTACACGATCCCTTCAAACAAAAATGGGAAAATGACGGCGGATATTCTGATTCCGATTTTACGCCTATTATATAGCGAAATAGAGAACCATGTTGGACATAGGGATTTCCGCCTTCAAGTTGATAGCGATTCCTCATACCATTCGAAGAAGGTCATGAAATGGGTCGCGGACAATGACCGTTAACTCGTTATTGGTCCCGGGCTATCTCCTGATCTCAATTGGATCGAGACGAACGTCAGGAGAGTCAAATATCACGTCAAAAACACTGCACATTTGACTACAGGAGATCTAGAGCAGATTATCCACGAGGGGTGGCGCAAAGTGGCCCAGAAGAAGCTCAATAAGGACGTTCTGAGTCAAAAAACGAGGCTCGAACAGGTGCTCCTCGCAGGTGGGGAACGCATTCATTATTGACCTGATTGGACAGAAGAAAATGCATTTCCACTTTTATAAGCAATTTGTATGGCCGGGTGAAATAAATGTTAGCCTAGTGCTATCTCAGGGGGGGGGGGGTTCGTGCCATCTCCAAATTCCAAATGGTGGACGAGTAGGACTGACCTGCGGGTGTGATCTCACCCAATAGCAGTATGGGAAGGCCGCCACGGACGGGGGTTGGTAGTAGGAACTGCAAACTCTGAAGACACCAGCTGGAAACTCTAATAAGACGCGGGACCTCAATTTTCAGTCCGAATCAAAGGGTACAGTTCCCAGTCGATTTCACAGGTCAGCTCTCTTGATGAAAACAGCCGCATGCTGTGCGCCTCCAGCCTCACTTCGCTGTCTTTGCTGCTGAAAAGCTTCTGATTTCAAGCGGAGTGGTATATATCGGGTAGGTCCCGAGCCTTTGCTGGCCGTATGTTCCTCTTCAGCCACCAGGCGTAATTAACTTTTGTGTGTGTGTGTGTGTGTGTGTGTGTGTGTGTGTGTGTGTGTGTGTGTGTAGTCGACAAATTCTCTCAGAACTCGGCCAAGCCCGGACTTTTCCCATTCTTCGGCGTCGGATAAACCAGTCCCTCTCCTTATAGTATGCCGTGGCTAATCTTGCACGTGTTATCACATGCTAGGGTCAGCTCTCTCCGCATGGTCGATTAACACGCCAACAGCGTGGCCGGAAGTCAGGGCCCACGAAGGCAGAAAGGGGGGGCGCCACCATCACAGAGTCTGCAATAACCCAAGTGCGGCTCGACGATGCTCTGGGGCTGGAGGCATTCGGAGGGTCAATTCTGACATCCAGCTGCCGTACGATTTCGGGAGACTTCCGGCGTTGATTGGCGATGTTTGCTCAGCCCTTTTAAGCTGCCGCGACTGCGTGCGGCTGAAACTCCATGCAGTCCACAGGTGAAGCCACGACGTCATCACGGGACGGGTCATGGGTGAGTGTGGCATGTACTTGACGAGCTATTAATCTGTCGTCCGCGGGTTGATCTGGTTACTGGGCAAGACCCGGGGGGGAGGGTCCTGAGTCCAGCATGTCTGACAATGTACGAGTGATACGGTCCCCTTGGAGCACGACGAGCGGGAACGCAGTCGTCAGGTAACTACCCCGGGTCCTGAAACAAAGATATGAGGTCAGTGATCTGCGAGAATATGTGTGTCGGAAATCAAACCTCACATATGCATTTTCCTGCCTGGGGAATTCCTCGACTGCATGAACAAGGGAGGTGACACCGAATCCAACCTTGGTGTATCGATTCTTAAGGGACTCGGCAGTTAAATTCAGAGTAGATGTCGGGAGCAGGTATGGCACGGTCGACTGGAAGGTATCGTTTGCAACCCCGAAAATTGGCGCAGGATACGCCATAGGGGAGGTTCATTCTTCTGGTTGGAGGGAAGAAGGTATGACCACCAACCGGTGGCGTAGCGGTGCCGCGGACCGTCCACTGTAGTCTTAAATACCATAGGTAGTTACGTAATTAAGATTTATGGTGGCTGGGAGCAAGATAAAACTCTTTTTCCTAGTGCGTCTTCGATGGCTTGTAGCATGAAATCAAAGTTCCGCCCATGGTGTGTTGTATGAGATGGTAATAACAATTCATGTACTACAAGATTCTGCTCTCATCTCAGATTCCATCAACCCACTAGGAGCCCTAACTGCTCACTACACTTCATATTGTAGCTCACTTTCTCACCAGTTATTACCACTGCTTTCCTGTTCAGCCAACGATGGCCTCACGCATCCCGGTAGGCGTTCTTGGCAAACTAAGATACGAGCGCAATCACGTCTGGTCACTCGAAGTTGGGCAGTTCTTGGGAGCTTACGAGCTGCTCTACAATAATCCAAACGACGCTTCTAACCCTACCGTCGTTGCACAACGAAAGCAAGTTACAAACGAGATTAACGACAGGCTTGCAGAGAACAGAATATTCTACAGGATTCCCGAAATCGCTGCTCCGGTCGCCACAGTGGTTTCCAACGTAGCACAACGAAAGCAAGTTACAAACGAGATTAACGACAGGCTTGCAGAGAACAGAATATTCTACAGAATTCCCGAAATCGCTGCTCCGGTCGCCACAGTGGTTTCCAACGTACTAGACAATGTCTGGGCGTTGGCAAGTGCCGAGCATTGTGCCTTTGCGTTGATCGCCGAGGCCGCCTTCTTTCTCTCCGAAGGCATGAGAATTGCTCAAGATGAATTTAAACCGCAAATCAAAGCCACCGCTAAGAATCGCCTCCGAGAGATTGACGTCCGTTGCGAAGGCATCGAACTGGATTCTGACACATTCTGGGAGATACTCCAAGAGCAACCCCTTCAGGCACTGGGAACCCAGGGGCTTCAACATCTATTCCTGGCAATGCAGCGACCTGTCAGCGTTCTCATTTTAGCTGCATCTCCTCAAGACCAGCCACAACTACAACTTGGCACGGAACGTCGCGAGCTCAAGGAGAGTCTTCAACAAACAAGATTTCGAGACGCTTTCGAGATTCACGATGTGCCCAGCTGTCGTATCCGGGACATCACACAAGCCCTGAACCAATTCAACCCAACCATTCTCCATTTCAGCGGCCACGGCAATGAAGATGGCATATATTTCGAGAATGACCAAGGACTGTCACAACTTGTCCTACCGAAAGCCCTTGCCGGTGTTTTCGAACACCACACAGGGCTAAAGCTTGTGATTCTAAATGCCTGCTTCGCGGCATCACAGGCCCAAGTTATTGCTGACAAAGTCGGACACGTCATCGCCATGGAGAATGAGATCCTGGACCGCGACGCTATCTCCTTCTCCCGCTATCTTTACTCTAGCCTCGGTTTTGGACGGTCCATTGAAGATGCATATGGCGAGGCAGCGAGAACAATGGCACTGGATACATCAAGCACGCTGGAGTCTCGCCTTTTAAAAGCTCACTGTGACGACCCGACCAACAGGTCGCAGGATCGGGCCAGGGACAAGGGCAGGTCATGCACGCGGGACGACACACACCAGGTTAAGTAAGCATCTCGTTATGTCAGCAAGCCAGGATATGTGGGTCGCCACATATCCAGAGGTCCAGGATATGCGGATCACAACATATCCCAAGATCCAGGATATGGGGATCGCAGCATATCCAGTGATCCAGGAACACACCTCTATGAAATCACGATGAAGGACAAAGGGTATATAGAGCACGGAGGATCCCCTTGTAGACAGTCGTTACCTTTGTACTTCAGCGATCAATCTAAGTATCACTCTTACCCTTCACTTGACCTAGTCACTCAATTGATTCAAGTGTGATATCTCGCAAGAGACACGAACGACAACCCCCAGAGAGCACGACAGCACAGAGTCAGTATTGCACGAGGTTCTACCTACCTTGTCAGGACATAAACCCCACAGCGCCCGGTCAGACGGTTGACCCCGGAGATCGGATCGTGACACTCACTGAATGGAAAAAAGTCTGCGCTTTGTTTGTGCAGTTGGAGAGCTGAAATAGTTAACCCCCCAGGGACTTTTGGTCTCATTTGTCGAAGTCCAGTCCTCGGCCAGACGTGGAGGGTTTCTATCACAGCAGGTCGTGGGCGGAAGACGTCGCTGCTGTTCTCGAACCGAGGACGCGGGTCGGTCGGGGGACAAAGCGGAATCAGCGCTGCTCACAGTTCAGTTTATCAAACAGTCTAACAGATCAGATCAATCAATTCCGCTACCTTTGTCAGTTCAAACAGGCCAGATTTGAAGCTATTCGCAACTGATAGACTGATAGCGGAATGACATAATGCCGGCCCCGGTACTGCCCTGTCAGTCGGCAAGCCCTGCCCGCAGAAGGTCTCAGCAAGGGGTCTTGGGAGCTGGGAACGGCATCCAGAAAGGGGCTTCGAAACCTTCCGGGCAGGGGTCCGGACAGCATAATGGGGCCATAATTGCAAGGGAACGATCACGTGACTTTCATACTTTGTGAATAGTCTCATTTTATGAAGATTGTACAAATAGTTAGCTTTAGTCAGAGTTTTCCTTACGAATCTCTCCCTCTCCTCTTTCTCTCCTCGTAAACAATCATTTTACCCAAGTCGCACTCGACCTCGTTCGTGCCCTTGTCCCGTCACAGTAATCTTACCATCGCCGTTCTTGTTGAAATGGGAAGATCCCTGTTCCTTAATTCATGCAAGTGAGAGGTAGAAGGGCCACTACTTATATACAGGTACGGATAGCCGTAGAATGTTCTAGGCCTTTACCACCGACTTGATCGTCTAACACCCATGACCTCCAACACTCCCACTCGAGCAAGGCGGTGGTACTCAGTCCAGAAGTTCTTAGCAACCTCATTAAAACCTTAATAACACCTTCGTGGGTGAAAGAGGAAAGAGTGTTGCTGGAAATGTCGGAGCTTGATGCCGTCCCGGGGCTGTGGGGAATATTGTCTTGGATAAGACAAGGCTCCCACTGCAGCCCGCCTCGGTATCTGCTTCAACAAGTGCAGAAAGCACTTTTGATACTTCACGGCTTCGGTCCACTGAGTACCGCACCCGAAGCCGAGAGTTCGTCTTTTGCCAGATCCATCGCGCCGTGTTAGCAGCGCATCAGGCCGTGTTAGCAGCCCTCCTGTCCTTGGTGCTCGTTGGCAACAACTGCAGCTACTGGCAGTACCAAGGTCCATGGTCCAGTTCGGGACTTGCAACCCACGCAGCGGCCTTCCCGGCTTCGGTCCACTTGTACAGCCCCGAGCCTTCGAGTCATCTTTTGCCAGATCTTCTTGGTCTGGTCGGGAATTGCAACCCATGCGGCCAGATCATTCTTGACCTGCTAGCGGCGGTGGTCTCGGGGAGTGAGTTAGACGGCGTTGCCTTGCGGTATTCGGGGCAGTAGACTCCCACTGGATCCTCGCGTAGGGAACCAGTGCAGAGGTCCGTAGCGTGGATCCCCTCTTCGACCCGTGTCGCCTCACTCGTCCGGTCCAACAACTCCCAGTGCCCTCCGAAACAACTGAAAGCGGTCCTTAGGAAGTGCTTTCGTGAGTCCATCGGCGAGTTGTTTGTCGGTAGGGATGTACTTCATCTAGACTTCTCCTCTGGCCGTCCTTTCTCGTATGAAATGCTCCTGAATTGCAATATGCTTCGTTCGGGAGTGGTACTGGGGGTTCTTAGCCATCGCTATGGCACCCTGGTTGTCGCCGTAGATGATTGTGGCAGCGATTAGCACTCAAAACTAGGAATGAGGGTTAGGTTTAGGGGTTCACGGTCAAATAAAAAGGTTTTTTAAGATCAACCGATAGAATATGTTTTTCTCATGGCGACTAGCCGGAAAAGAACTCTATAATGCTGGTCTGGTCATTTTTAACGAATTTTTAAGATGTTGATGCCATGGGGCCCTTGGTGATGATGGGTGGATCCCGTGTGACGGGTCCACTTTTACGCACCACCAACATTGACCCCCAAAGCAGCATGCCATCTCCGAATTGCGCACCACCACCTCGCGATGCACTTCCATTACAGGCGTCAGCGGCGTCAGAGAATGAAAGCTAGGTGACCCTATTAAAGCCGTCCATGACCGCAAGAGAGCGCCGGATGGGCGGAGCACGGCTAGCGACTCACCTGACGGTACTCTGTAGCCCGGCCCGAAGGAGAGCTCCATCTGATGAAGCGGTCGCTCTGAAACTCGGCTGACGGGAATTTCCTAAATCGGACCATTTGCTCGTCGCAGGGTTGGTCCCAGAGATGTCCTAATCACGGAAACAACTATCAATCCCTGATGTCGCCCGCTCCGCGAAGGCCGCAGGTGAGTAATGTAAGACTGACTAAACGCGGCTCGATCAGTGTAAGGACAGTGCACCATAAGGTAAGTCAGGTAGCAGTCGGATGTCTGGTAGGGGGTCGCATTACTGCAAGACTAATTCTTAGAGGTCTAAGTTCTCTATTACGAAGCGCACGCGTTTCGGCCACGATATAGTATCGTACCGATAACCCCAGTACAACCCCCAGTATCCCACTATCTACAGCCCTATACCTCGGTACTTGTAGTATAGTTACGCACATTATGCATCTCCACCTTATCGACACCACATCAGTGCTAGGCCTGCACCGCGCTGCTAGTGCCTGCGGCCTTACACCTAGTTATACTAAAGGTTAAGCAATAAGGAGTTCCGGAAGCCGGTAATACCGGCCAGTAGGACGTAGGAATGGAACGCTATCCGCGCGGAGGTAGTCATCTCAATATCGCTTACGCGCGTCCACAAGGTGGACAGGAATACAGAGATATCTTCTGCTATAACGTAATCCACAAGCAAGCGGGTCACACAAGCGACCGGGTCACCCTCCCAGTACTCGTACGACAATATATAAGTCAATTCAACCACAACGCCTCAAATCAATTGAAACTATTCAGAATCCTCTTCTTCAGAGGCAGATACAACTTTCTGACACGTACGAGCATTATGACCGGGCTCGCTGCAGACGCCACATCGTCGCGCGCGCGTTTCGGGCCTCCTCGTACGACCACTATTCTGACTCGTTTCCGCTATTAACTGCTGCGTCACATCGATTTGAGCCTTCAAATCCTTTGCCTGATCAATCGTGAGGGACCCTCCTTTCTGTAGCTGCTTTCTTTTCGTACGACGACGGCGGCTAAGGCGGTCATTTGCATCTCGAAGTTCGGCGAGCTCTTGGCGCATAAGGTCCTGCTCGTGTACCATCATTATAACTCCTTTTCTCAGCTGCCGTAGGCTCTCAACAATGGACGACGGTGAGCTATTCTGGTGTCGTACGATGCGATTTTCAATATACTTCGTCTGCGATTCGGTCTCAATTAGGTTGTTCGGCGTCTTTGAAACCCATGGGGGTGGTAGTCCAGCAGAGGAACCTGGTGGTGTCGGCGTATGAAACTTCATATCTAGCTGCGAAATCACATAATTCGGGTCGTACGGTACTAGGCCTGTCGCTCTAAAGCCTGCCTGGATGTTTGATTTGGTCATTGCAGCGTCGTACGCCTTATAAAAGGCTGGGAGGAAGTCCTCCTTTGAAACGTGGGTTACGTGCGCCCGCATTAGACCTTCGATTTCTTTACCGTACGCCCGTTTCAGAGGTCCAAAACACCCAACATCGAGAGGCTGGAGCTTATGCGACGAATGAGCAGGCATACAGAGCGTGATAATATTCTGTTCCTTGCAGTAGAGCTCGAAATCGACGGAATGGTGGCTCTCGTGGCCGTCGAGGATAAGGAGGCGGTAAGTACCCTTCGTACGACTCTTTGTATGGAAATCAAAGTGTTTTACCCATTCTAGGTCTCTCTCGTTCGTCGTCCAACCGTTTTCTGAAAGCGCGATTACCCAGTCGGCCGGTAGAGGGCTATTCGCGGTCCAGGAGTCGAGGTGGACCTTCCCGGCGAAGATAATGTACGGCGGGATTGAATAGCCGTACGACGCGATACCCTGGATTACTGTAACCCATTCCTGATTACCTTGTTGTACGGCTCTTGGCCTCCCGCGTCGATCGGAGGTCGTAACGACAGTTTCGGCGGAGATTTTGCCCATCGCGAAGCCCGTTTCGTCGAAGTTATAGATGTCGTCATCGTGGATCCCGTATTTCGCGACTATATTTCGTACGAGCTCAAACCACGCGCGATACGCGTCTGGATCTTCGCAGAGGACTCTCTGGTAGTCGATTCTTCGATTAAAACGCGTACGGAGCTCTGATCGTCGTCGTATGAAGGTTGAGGCCCAGTTCGTTCCGACACGCGGCGCGTCGCGTACGGCGAGGAGTCGATCCGCCATTTCTCGAACACCACTAAGTCGCGGTGGAAATGATCGCGAACCTAGGTCGATTACGTATCGTATAATACTCTCCTCTTCGTACGAAGTCAATTTCTGGCAGGGTGGTCGGGTATCGCGTTTTTGCTGTGCGCCGCGTTTTCGGTCGCGAAGTGTCGTACGAGGGACTTTGTAGATCTGCGCAGCCTTTCGTACGCTTAATTTTGGATCGGATTGAAGCGCGTTTAGCGCTAGAATAATGTCGCCTTCATTTGATTGCTGTGGCATGATTTTTGGTGGAGGAATATGGGATTAAAGATAGCTTGTACAGAAAGATTGGGAAAGTGGGCGGGTCACCCGTGTGGGCGGGTCACCCGTGGGTTACGTTATTCATCCTCGTGCAATATTTAAAATCAATCCAGAGGACACACTTGACGCATCAGAACAATGGTATCAACTAGAAGTCAGACACGTTCCCAGAAAGGGACTCAGACTCAATTACAGGGCGGCGCTACGAAAGTGAAGAACGCTGTAGATGGAGAGGCAGTTGCGAGGTCCAGAAGTAATACCAAGATTGAAAGAGCTACGACCACTACGAAAATCGAGAGAAAAACAAAGGCTACGAAGGCAAAAACGACTACGAAGGGGAGTTTTACTGCCAAACCTGACAACCTAGAAAGTGCGAGGAATAGCGAAGGACGTCAAAGCACGCCTACTTGCACAATGCGCGACGCTGCTAGTGACGTAATCGCGGAGTGGTGTAGCCAAGACTGGGCACGAGATCCTGCCCTGTCCCGTCTAGTACCTGAACTGGGAGAAATCGAGAAAGAGGTCAAGGATCTTAGTCCCTCAAAGCTTCGGGAGCGTTTAGATAGTTTGGTCACCGACTGGATGGAGCTAGGGCTGTATGAGGGCCGAGAGCGCAGCAACACTGGCATACTCAGTCAGTGCAAAACAATGGCTTCAACGTTCTTACTCGTCGTCAGGTACATCTTTAAGAATATTGAACATGTCGGGGACGAGAATCTGGTAACATGGTATACAATCTCCATGGCAATAGACAGATTGGTTATCGAGTCCCGATGTCCCGATTATGCAGGAAAACGCGATACGCCATGGAATTGGCTGCAGCGGCAGAGAGAGTGGGCAGAGCGTCAACCCGAAGCGTCCAGGTTCCAGCGCTATTATGATGCGATTATGCACAACAGATTTATTGAAGTGGAAAGCGACTTCGAGGAAGAACTTGAACGGATAGAAAATCAGCAACAAAAATATCGAGATGCGGGAATACAAATTCTCACCACTGAGGTCACAACACTCGAAAATCCCGAAACGACCAAGGATTCACAAAGGACAAGTCAGGTCGACAGTGAATGGTTTTGGGAACCGGGTTGGTCCTTGGCGAAAGCAACCGAGAGTTGGAAAGCTAAAGGACTGCAGGATGAACTCATTAATGACTTCAAACGGGATGGATGGATATATCAGCAGTTTTTGGTCTGCCTTATCGCCTATATAAGCCAACAAGACTTCAAGTCTTCAAGGAGTCCCTTGCTGTTTGCTCGTTGTCAAATGTGGAAGAAGCCTATAGATCAACTCGTTCCTATTGAAAACCTCGGTTACGACTACGTGTACAGCTTCTTCAACAATATCGATACCCGCGTAACCTACAAACCCTCTAAGCTGCGCAGCATGGAGTGGACCTGGAGTAATGGGAATTGGGCGTGGAACGCGTATATTGACAGTAATGGTAGGAACTCTCTAGTGAATCCTAATGCTGTTTTGTTCGAGAATGGAGCAAAACTACATGTAGATAATCTCGACGACGGGGGTAAGGCTGTCATTGAGCTTCCTCCTAACGCAACGGTCTATGAAGTCATTTGCCAGATTAACTCTTTCTATACTATGGAAATTGAAGCGCCAAAGGGACTAGACGAAGCAGGTCGCTACTATAGTCATCGTTGGGAACGCCATCCTATAGAAGTGGGTGGCTTTAAGAAATATAGAAGTAGACTAGATGGGGGGGAATATTGGAAATTAGAGGACGCTTAGAACGGTAACTGAGTCATTCCCATGATTGAAGTACACTCGAAACAGCTGGTCAATCTGCTAAAACGGTGATTAACGGCTTGTTTTATGCTCCTAAGAGATTTCTGAGACGAAATGGTGGGTCTCGCGGCCAATGGGAGTAAGGATGTGGTTCACACCCCTTTTATAAACTGTTCGCATAAAATCGAAGTATTTAGCTTATTCTAAACCACTGTTGTTCGTCTTCCAACCATTCTCTACAATGCAATTTCCCCACCGGACGGCATCGGGCAATTTACTGTCTAAGAATCGAAACGGCCTCTCTGTCGGATAAAACGGATCACGCCTGTCTAATCAACTGTCCGCACTCTGAGATGGTCCAGTTTGCCAAGGAAGACGATCGATTCGAATTGGTGCTGGAAAAGATTGAAAGAATTGCGACAAGGGCCGTCACACAAACCTAAGTGCTGGTAGGGCAGGTAGAGGTTTCATCACGCCTGTTCCTGGTGCATCATACGGTAAGGGAAGGCAGCAGGCATAGTTTCGTTGACTACTAATACGATGTGGCGGGGCGATCATACCAAGCAGGTCGTCTCGAACCCCAAGGATGCCAAATTCGAGTAAGACACGCTCCCGTCTTGTCATCCAACGTCCCGCTAAGGTTGCCAGAATCGTCGCAGTCCACGGCCTCGGCGCTCACCCAGAGTACACATGGACGTGCCAAGCTCCAGCCAATTCGACAGACCCAGCCAGCGTACAGCGCGTTCACCTGCTCAAAGACCTTCTGCTGCCCGACTTCCCGGCTGCCAGAATCCTAAGCTTTGCCCACAACTCAGACTGGCTCATCAATGCCCCCGTTAAAACGGCCCAGGAGATCGGCTACATGCTCCTGCAGCAGTTAAAATGCCACCGATCAAGGCATCCGGTACGATTTCGCGAATGCCTCTACATAGCATTGCTGACGCCTGTGCCAGCGCATTCCGATCATCTTCATCGGTCATAGCTTCGGTGGTATCATCATAAAAGAGGTATGCTAGCTCCCACTTAGCCTATTGCGCGCCTAGCTCTAATGATCTTTCTCAAGGCTTTGTGTCAGCCCGGCGACGACTCACAGGATATCGCTGACGATACATGTGGCATCGTTTTCCTCGGAACTCCTCATCAGGGCTCGCCAGTGTCTGTTTTCGGTGCTGCTGCGGCCTTCCTGACCGGCTTCCTAGGGTCTAAGAATACCCTTCTCCTTTCTCTGAGGAATCATCGTCCACAGCTCGCTGACCTAGAAATCCGCTTCCGACGCCGTATGAATCCTATAGAAAGCAGACGACAAAAAACCGAGATAGTCTCCTTCTGTGAGAGCATGGATACCTACTTGCTCGGATGGCTCTGGATTGGTCCAGTAAGTGCGGGCACAACGCATATCCGACGCTATCTAACCTTGCTCGAGATTGTTACCCCCGATTCAGCACAAGGCTACGCGGCTCAGATCATTTCGATCGACACCGATCATTCTGGCCTCAACAAATGTAGCCGACGAGAAGATCAGCTGTACACTGAACTCAAGAAAGTGCTAGACAGACTTAAACCGTACGTAATTCCAGCTAATCTCCCTTGCAATTCCAGTTAACATTGCAGAAGCACTAGCGAGCCAACCTTGAACGCCAACCAGCGGTATGTTGTGGCGAATCTGAAGGTTGCAGAGGGCGCCACATTCGACTCGAAGACCGAGGAGCACGAGGCGAGATGCCTTGACGGCACCCGTACCGGAGTCATCCAACATATTTACGAATGGGCGAACGACAGGGAAGGAAAATGCATATACTGGCTGCAGGGCCAGGCTGGCACCGGCAAGTCCACGATTTCTCGCACGGTAGCGCACGAATTCGCCGCTCGCGAACGTCTTGGCGCCAGCTTCTTCTTCAAGAGAGGCGAAGGCGACCGCGGTGGAGCTTCCCGCTTCTTCACCACGGTCGCTGCGCAGCTCGCTTGTCGCATTCCTTCCATGGCGGAGCACATGCGAAACGCAATCGAGGCCGATCCCAGCATCAACGAAAAGTTGACAAGAGAGCAGTTCAAGAAGCTCCTTCTGGAACCCTTGAGGGGGGCTCTAGATTCGCAGACTCCTTTGAGGACAATGGTCGTCTTGATAGACGCACTCGACGAGTGCGACCAAGAGAGACATGGGAGAGATGTTACAAATATCATTGGCCTCTTGCCAGAAGCAAAGCAGCTGCTCTCCGTCCGCCTGAGATTCTTCGTCACAAGCAGGCCTGAGCTGCCTATTCGGCTCGGATTTAAGGACATCAGTGGCAGTTACGAGGATCTGATTCTCCACCAGATCCCCCAGCCCGATATCGAGCACGACATCACCGCATTCCTGGAGCACGAATTCACCGAGATCCGGAAGTGTTATAATAAATCTGTCACGCCAAACCGGCAGCTACCTCCCCATTGGCCTGGCGCAGGAACCGTTCAGAAGTTGGTTGATATGGCTATCCCCTTATTCATCGTCGCCGCGACCGTTTGCCGCTTCATCCAAAATCGAAACATTGGTGGCCCGAAGGAACAGCTGGCAAAAATCCTGGAGTACCAGGCAAGCCGGAAATCTAATTTGGACGCAATCTATCTCCCTGTACTGAAACAGTTGCTGGTGGGGCTCCCCGAATCGGAGAAGTGCCAAGTGACAGAAAGATTCAAACAGTTCATCGGCTCCATCGTCCTCCTGGCCCACCCTCTTTCGACATCTTCTCTCGCACGCCTTCTAGCGGTTCCTCTTGACGCCATCGAAGATCAACTAGACCTACTCCACTCCGTTCTGAGCATCCCATCAGACTCGGGGATGCCGGTACGGCTACTCCACCTATCCTTCCGCGACTTCCTCGTCGATCCTGAGAAGGGTAAAGAACAAGACAAGTACCCCTTCTGGGTCGACGGACGGCAAGCCCATGAGCGGCTGGCGACCCAGTGCCTACAGCTGCTATCGACAGGCGATACCCTCAAGAGAGACATCTGCGGTCTGCGCCTGCCAGGAACGCGCCGGTCTGAAGTCAAGCAGCGGATTATCGACGACGGCCTGCCGCCTGAGGTCCAGTACGCCTGTCGGTATTGGACCTACCACTGGAAGGAGAGCAAGTGTAGGATTCGGGACGGCGACCTCGCCGACCATTTTCTGACCGACCACCTCCTTCACTGGCTCGAAGCGTTAGGCCTTTTGGGGCGGGTCTCGGAGAGTATCGGTATGGTGGATGATTTGCTAGGTTTACTCGATGTGCGTTCTCCTGCTACCTTTCCGGTTTAGTTGCGTAACGTCCTGACTTTTATATAGCGGGAAAAGAGCAGCAACATCTTCGCGTTTCTGATTGATACGCGACGGGTAATTCTGAATTATTGCACTGTTATCGATGCATCGCCTCTTCAAGTCTACTCTTCTGCCATCGTGTTCGCACCACAGCGAAGCGTCGTCCGGAAGAGGTTCCGAAACCAATTTCCGGCTTGGCTTTCTCTACCGCCGCAAGTAGATTCGGATTGGGGCGCCTGCACGGCAACGCTCGAGGGCCATAGCGACTGGGTCTCGTCGGTCGTATTCTCGCACGACGCAACGAAGCTAGCATCAGCATCTCGCGACAAGACCATCAAGCTCTGGGATGTGGCAACGGGCGCCTGCAAGGCGACAGCGACACTCTATGTCGGCACATATATTACTCACCTTGCCTTTGGCGCAACTGGCTCCTCCCTCTCCACAAGCATCGGCACGTTTACTTTGAGCAGTGCATCCCCGTTAGCGTCATCGCCATCGCCGTTGTTGATTTCGGCGACGCCGACGACAGTACCGTCGGTATCAACTCCTCTCCCACAATTTGTCGATCGCCGGGGCGTCGGGCTCAGCAAGGACCGCGCGTGGGTCACTTGGAACTCGCACCAGGTCCTATGGCTACCCCAATCGTACCGACCGGGAAGTTCTTCTGTAATAGAATCGACGCTGGCCATAGGATGTCCGTCAGGACGAGTAATCTTCGTAGCGATCTCACCTGGCCAAGATCATTGTATATAGCACTTTCCCTGCAGCCATTTCGAACAATACAAAGCAGTGAAGTCATAAGTGGCGGCTAGCCTATCGTTCGATTAAGTATCTCTTTCTCGTCGACCAGTAGTACATAAATATACGCTACTTGCTCTCACTGGCGTCAGCAGTCACGTCAGAACCTGCTCAAATGGATCTAAGTATCGCTCAGGGTCATGATCAAGATCGTATTCGAAGTCGCCACCGGCCCGCGGAGCCCAAATGGTACACGCCTCCGACCGGACGGTCAGTGGATCTCTCGACGAAGAGGATGTGGGGCCATCGTTGGGCTGGTAGCCTCTCTGCTCAGCTCCACCCCACCCTTGGCGCCCTTCTGCAGCGTCTGTCACCCACGTGAGGGAGGTCTGATGACGGCGAATAATCGTAGGCCACTTTACCGCACATAGAGGGTCAGGCACCGGGGTTCAATGTGATGGGCGCGATTTTGGTGACGAGAACATGGCGTAGGCTTACGCAAATGTATTTGTATGCCAGAAGTACGCAATGAGGACCAGTAGCAGTCAGTAATGAGGACCAGTAGTAATGAGGACCAGTAGCAGTCAGTCAGGACCAGTAATAGTCAGCAGTCAGTTAGGACCAGTAGCAATAAGGACCAGTAGCAGTCAGTCAGGACCAGTAGTAGTCAGCATGAAGGTTCCTGGCGCAGAGTTATGCGCCCTCCAACCCAGGCTCCGGCCTCGTCGAGTCACACTGGATCGGACAACGCGCGAGATCCTACCAACGGAAGATTATTACGCTCTCGTTTACGAGTTTATTCCCAAAAGCCCGATTGTGGATTTCGATGCCATGCAATCTCAAGCGGACTTTCTCTGGCGCCTGGGTTTCTGATTTACGCCGATACGGCTGAACAATTGGGAGGGTGGACTACTCCTTGATATGGCTGATATCATGTGTCCGTAGGCTGCTAGCTAGTCCGAGGCGCAGTAATACCCGTCCTCGCGTCAAGGACTGGGTCTGTACTGAGAGCAACTCTTCGATTTTCTAGTCGCTAAGTCCGGTTTTGGTGTGTTGCCTCACGATGGGATCGCCGGCAATGTCTTTGCAACTCGCCCCATTGAGATGCGATGCCCAATCTACCTCATGAGCGCAAGTTTCATACACTACAGGAGTATTGCAGGGCTGATACTGATAAGTGGAGTATATTGATGGTGAACTAGCTGATAAAATCAGCTTGCCTAAGGAGAGGAAGAAACAAAAGAATAGCGGAAATACGAATTATTGCCTTAAAAATCAGTCGTCCTGTTCCTCCTCATCCTCCTTTATCTCCTCCCAGTCGTCGCCGAAGAACTCTGCAATAGCTTCACAAGACTCGCCTCCATCCAGCCCCGTAACCAAAAAAGCGTCCTTTGCTCCGCGCCAACTGCTCTCTGCCTTTTCCCTCACGTGGAAGGTACCATACTTGATTTTCACACCGGTGAAGAACACCACCCTTTTCTGGCCAGTCCAGGCCATCCACCCACTGCTAGATCGCGACCTAACCCACGACATTTCTGAATGGCCTCGGGCCACGGGCTCGGCATCTACGACAAAGCCGACAGTCAGGTTGGTATTCGAATTAGTCCATGCGTTGATGTGAATGTCGCTAGCCGAGTATGTCCATGTTGTAGCGCACACGCCATGCCTTTTCAAATCAGGGTAGTCGGCCAGAAGCTTCTTCGAGTTCTCCTTCAGCCAGTCCAAAAAGGGATTGCGGAAGTCATAGCCCTCGGAAATAACGTCGTCGTCGCACATCAGGACCGCGCCGAAGTCGGCATTAGTGCTGTACCGTACCGCGCCTGCGATTCCCACAGGCAGGCCTAGACTCTGGGCATTGATTGCACCGCCAAGCTCGACGTTGGCCTCGTTCGTGTTGCTGGAGACACGGGGACCCCAGCGCCGGGGGTCCGGGTCGCATCGCTGCAAGCGGCCGATCGGCGTGTACCCGGCGGCGGTGATGGCTTCGGCATCCGCAAGATCCAGAATCGAATGCCAGCGCCGGTATTCGTCGAGATATCCTAGCATTCCAGGGCGGAGGCTGATAAATGCCACGGGCTCGTAAAGGGCATATCCGAACCGATGCGGGATCATAGCTGCCCGATAAAGCTCTGCAAGACTCGGCGCCATGCTCAAGGACGCGCTGATCTTTCTGCGCCGGATGGCGAGTGCAATTCGAACCGGGGGTTCAGACGCCAAAATCCAGTAGTTGGGTCGAGCCGGGGTCACAATCTCCGTAAAAGAACGAGGGCTGATACAGTTCGTCCTTTGACAGGGAAAGATTCAGACTCCTCACGATATTTATTCATGATGGGGAGTCGTTTTGGAGTAGGTGCCGCCCGCCACAACCCACAAAGTTCGGCCATGCGCTAGCCGGCAGCAAGGTTTGTGGCGGGCGGCAGCCGCTGCCAGCCGACACCATGTCATTTTCCGGGCACCAGCTGAGATCGGGCATCAACCCCGGCGATCTGGCCCACCATGCCAAGTATTACGTAATCACGCCATCATCCCCCGCTCCAGCACGAAAAATCTCGCTGGATTCACCCCGAGTCCCCCAAGCCGCACACTCAAAACCTCCATAACGCCAGCGCAGAAGGTCCGAAACCAAGCATTCCTCCTGGGAGAGATCACGCAGATTGATTGTTCCAATAAGCTTGGACTTTGAACCAACCGCGGAGTTGGAAATGTCGCAGCCGGCTCCTCTTCCGGGTGGCCTCAACCGGTCTCCGTACTCGGCAGTCAAGGTGCTGATGATCTGCTGGAAGGACTCGGCACAAAATCAGTTCAAACAGCAGTTGAAGAGCCTAGCTAAGGAACTGTTGGCATACAACTTCCATGTACAGGAGTACGAAATCGAGTCCAAAAATCCCCAGCAAACCCTCACTGCAGAACTTTTGTCCTTCTTGGGTCATGATAAGCCGCACACGCTCCTGATCATCTATTACGGCGGCCACGGCCTCAACAACAAGGACAAAGATTGCATTTGGTTGCGGTTAGTATCCAATATCTTTCAATCCTTTGACGACTAGACTAGGTCATTGTTGTTGTTGTTGGTCTGACATTCCCTGGAAGAGATGACCCGTCATCAGCGTCCTTTATAACGATGCCGAAAATCAATTGGAGCGCCCTTCAGTCGCTGTTTCTCGATGATTGCCACTCCCATGTCCTGTTCCTTCTGGATTGTTGCTTCGCTGCTTCGTCAGTCCTGTCCACTGACGGGGCCAGCACAGTGGAGGCAATCGTCGCCTCGGGTTTTGAGAGCGTGGCTCCCCTCCGAGAAAAGGACAGTTTCACCACCTTCCTTACGGCTGCGCTCAAAGAAAGTCGAAACGAGGAGCAGCCCGTCTTTGTTGGCCGACTCTGTTCCCGGATATCCGCGAAGCTCAATCGGACAGAAAGGATATCAGAACGCGAAGGTGGGCGACGAGTAACACCTTTCCACATTGACTTCGCGAATACACCGGAACGTATTGTTATAGGTACCCTGCCGGATGGAGCAGAAACACCCGCGTCTACTGAGGAGAAACATCAGCTCGCGACGCCGTTAAGGACTGTGCTGGAAGAAGCGTACGTTTGGCCGATACGCAGCTACATCCTAACAGCCAGTGTCTGAGCAATGCTAACCGTTTGAGACAAAGTCCCGAGTCTCAATACCAGCCAAACCCCGAAAAGGCGAAACTCCACACCAACACTCTCCCGGACCTCAGTGCCAAACATCACGCAAAACCGACGTCTGATCCCCCAATCAAAGCTAATGCTCCTTCGACATCCATTTTCCCTTCGAGACTTGTCCAGCACGCCAGCCAGCACACGAGTCAGCATGTGGCCCAGGCTGCCAGTCGACTCAATAGGGGAGGTGAGGTCCGGATCACGCAAGAGGTCGTCACGGCTGTGGCGGGGAATCAAGAGTGCGGGAGAGAGATCATTGCTATACTCCTAGAGCAGCGGGGAGACGAGTTCAAGATCACGCAAGAGGTCGTCACGGCTGCGGCGGGGAACCAAGGGTGCGGAAGAGCGATCATTGCTATACTCCTAGAGCAGCGGGGAGACGAGTTCAAGATCACGCAAGAGGTCGTCACGGCTGCGGCGGGGAACCAAGGGTGCGGAAGAGCGATCATTGCTATACTCCTAGAGCAGCGGGGAGACGAGTTCAAGATCACGCAAGAGGTCGTCACGGCTGCGGCGGGGAACCAAGGGTGCGGAAGAGCGATCATGGCTATACTCCTAAAGGGAGGTTTGCGGTTCCGCAAGAATCGGGTCAGTCTCTGTCGTTGACTTTTCAGCACTTTATGACAAGCTTGTCCCGAAGATGGTCGTTTACTTGGGAAGCCTTGTCGGAAAGGCCAAAGAGGCACCCGGGTCGACAGCAGAGAATGATCCCTTCATCTTCATCGATGGAAAGCTGGAGGTTTTGTAACAGTGTCTCTTCCATGCTGCACGGGCTTTTCTGGAAAACGTAACGGACAATGAGGATCCATGTTGAGTTGGTGTTCATTCACGCATCGCATCACGGTCAGGGGGAAATTACAGCGTAGGGACTTGACGCACAGGCCATTTCATCATTGGTCCAGTGCGCACGGACCCTGACCAAGCATTTCGCGGACCTGATCCAGGTTGCGGACCTGATCCAGAAGGGTATTGGTACAGTAGGGGCGGTGCCGGCAGACGAAGCTCGACATCGACCGGCCGCTCGTCCGTGTGGTGCTGGGGGCAGACGCCGCAGAGCTCGTCGCCCTCCATGCACCACGTCCAGTCACGTCTCGCGTCGAGGAACTGGCTCATGACAGTGCGGGAGCAGTGCTGCTGGGTCAGGTACAGCTCCATGGACGCCTGGTCCGCGGTCGGCCTTCGGTCGGCTCGCGGCGCCCACGCTGCGCTGATCATGGCGATCGACTCGGCCGCCTTGCCGTCCCGCCCCGCCCTGCCCGTCTCCTGGCTAGCACTCTGGGGTATTTATTCAGCGTAGATAAGTGGAAGCTATAGCGCCTCGCAAACTGGAGAGCTACTAGTATACCTATAAGGACGTTTAGTCCAAAGGCCTCTTGTGGACTGACCTTGTCCCAGCCTACACCCGCAACCAGATGGCGGGGCGGTCTGTGTGATAATACATGACACTTCAAAAGCTGACGTACTTTACTATGGCCTTTTTCTTCTGGCGTAGACCGCGTCTCGAGGATCAGGCGACCGCCGACTCCAGAGAGCTCCCCGTTGGCCGTCCGCTACCTCCTTCAAACCCGACCCCGACTTCGTCCCGCCGCGGGGAGGATCAGCGGTGGCTTCAATACTGGAACGTGCCAGATCCAAGTCTGGCTCCCGTGTTGCGCTCGTGGGACCTGCCGGCGTGGGGAAGTCGCAACTCGCTATGGAGTACTGTTGCCAAGCGGATGAGGTATTCAGACTGCCGTTGGTGTTCCGGGTAGGCACGGAGACGCGTGAGCGTTTCCTGGGAGACCTCAGGTCCATCGCTGACCTGCTTGACATTAGAGATTATGGGACAACTGAGCTGGAAGTTACCCAACGCGTCGCACAATGGCTACTCGACCCGTCGAATGGTCCCTGGTCCCTGGTCCTAGATGGTGTGACCGACGCCGACGTTCTCAGCTGTGGCAACGCCGAGTCCGCCAAACCAGGCACCGACAGCGGCATCCAGCAGAGAGTCCTTTGGGACCTCGTCTCGGACGTCTCCCACGGTTCAATATTGGTCACCACAGGAGACAAGTACACCGCACCAGCCCCCGGCATCAAATCCAGCGACATTGTGCCCGTGAGTGCAATGAGCGGAACGCAGGCTGTGAACCTTCTTCAGAAGAGACTCGGCAACCATGACCAGCAGAGCGGGCAGGATCATATGGCATTGGTCAAAATACTGGAGCACAATCCACTCAAAATCGTGTGGGCGGCAGCGTACATACGTCGATGCACCCCCCGCTCTCGGTCAGCGCCTTCCTTCAAGAACTGGAAGAGAACAAAACGTCTATAGGAGCCCGTTTGAAAGGCATCAGTTCCGACGAGACTGCAGTGCCTCGGACTTCATCGAAGCCTGCTGGAGGCCCGTGATCGAGTTCCTCGAACCCAGCGGCGAGCAGCTCACGCCAGCAGCTTCTCTGCTCTCTTTCATGGCATTTTTCGATCGCGATCACATTCCGACATCGCTGATCGAGTCTCGAAAGGGCAGAGCGGACGAGAGCGCAGTGGCTGGGGCGGACCAGGGCAACGAGAGCAACCTCCAAACGGACGAGCCATCACAACGTGGGGACGGAGGCGGTAACCGCTCAACTGATGCCTCTGAGAGGGGCGTGCAGGTTCTGCTTGATACGGGCTTCATCGCTAAGGGAGGCCCCGGCGTGTTCTCCATGCCCCAAGTCGTGCAGCTGGCAGTAAGATACTGGCTGAAGAAGAACAGACGTTTTGAGCACTTCGAATCGCGGTTCATACGCTGGATGCATTGGAATTTCCCACCAGGTCACTTTGAGAACTGGGTTACGTGCAGACGCCTCTACCCACATGTCCAAAAGATGACCCGGCATCGCCCGACGGACCCTGTATCGCTCGAAGAGCAGGCAGAGGTGCTTTGTCATGCCAGCCTGTATCTTCTAGAAACGGGCTATCACGATGAAGCTATGGAATTGGCAAACCTGTCTCTCGACGCGCTGAAGGTGCAAAAACCGGAACACCGTCTGGTCTTGGCGAGCAAACACTATCTCGGCAGAGCCCAGCGCAATCTGGGTCATTACCAGGCGGCTGATGACACATTCTCCGATCTACTGAGAACCTGCAGTCAGCATCTCGGCCCCGATGATCCTATGTTCCTAAACATTCGCGAGGACAAGGCGATGAACTTGGAGTCTCTGGGGAGTCTGGAGAGTCTGAACGAGGCAGCAAAGCAGATGGAAGAGGTCAAGGAAGATCGAGACAAATATGGCGGGCCTGCAAATGCTCACCCCGCTGACGTTTTTGGTACTGATGCGAATCGGGCCACACTCCTCCGACTACGTGACGATCTAGAGGGTGCCACGCGGCTGTACCTGAGCGCTCTGCAACAAGCCAGCAAGTCTTCCCTCGACCAGAATCACCCAGAAATCCTGGTAATTGAATGCGAGCTGGCCAGAGTATATCTGGATCAAAAGGACTTCAAGGAAGCAGAACGCCGATATTCCGAAGTGCTGTCAAAGAGCACTGAAACACTCGGCGGGGATCATCCTTTCACTCTCAATTGCATGGCCGAACGGGTAATGATACATATACACCGAGATAACGTTGTTGAGGCACAGAAGTTAGGCGCCAAAGTGCTCAACCTCCGCCGGTCCAGACTTGGCGAAGAACATCCCCACACTCTCAGGAGTGAGCTTACCATGGCGGATACCTACTATCGACAGAAGAAGTGGAAAAAAGCAAGAGAGTTACAGCTGCACGTAAAGGAGGCTTCCGAGTTGGGGAGGGATTATCATCTCATCGGAGACAGCATGAAGGATCTGGCATACACGGAGTACGCTATGAATTCTCAGACTCGCGCCGTCAAGCTGGCGAAGGACTGTATCACATTCTACTCCAATACATTCGGTCCGGAGCATAAAGACACACATGAGGCCCAAGAGGTTTTGGCAGAAATACTCTCGGAGCATGAAGCCACACAACAGGCCCAAGAGGCTTTGGCCGAATCTCTCTTTGAGCGACGAGAATCAGGTCATAAGGGGGCACAGACGAAACGAGCAAAACGAAGGAAATGCTAGTTCTGCTTAGACGACAATTATTCTCGGATGATCGAAGAGGACTTCCTAGTCAGATAGCCAATGCTCTAATATTCATATAAGATGACACCAACAGGCGTAACCTGATACACAGAAGATGGACTCCAACGGAACTACCAGCTCAAGATCTCAGAATATTCAACTCATTACGAGAATTTCATGTGACTGCTAGAGCGGAGATAGTACGAGAAGATATGGACTAGCATGGAAGGCCAGGAGAGACAGGACTGACGTGGACAGGTGGACTCGCAGATGTGGCGAATTGGCTGTGTAGGCCAGCGTCAGACGGTGAGAGTCCCGCACGCTGTCCACCCACTTGACCGGCTGACAACTACTTCGCGAATGGGTCGGGCATATGCGCCATACCGACAACTTACGGCAGGCCCTACTACTTAGGTAGGGTCGACACATGGTGTGTACCAGAAACCGTGCCAACGAGGCCCAAAAACGATCACTAAGGGGCATTGATAATGACAAGTTTTATGTGGTTTAAGATGACATAACGGTCAAGATATAAGCGCCTCTACACAATCCTTTCTCTGTCCACCCACATCTCCGCGATTCCCAATCTGTGAGCACCTTGGCAAGCCTCCGCGCAGGATAAGGTCATGGAGTACAAAACTAACACCAAGCTATAGCACCTGAGAAAGCCGCGATGTTGTACTCGGCCATGAGGCGATCACATGGCGGCATGTTGAGAAGCTGCAAGAAGGCCTGCTAGGTGTGTGAACGTGGCTATCAGAACTAAGACATGGAAAATCTGATGGAAACCATCTCTCGGGGATCTGCGACCAGAACGTCAATTTGGAGCATCAGGCAAAGAATCGTAGGCGACGTACCCTTGAGGCATAGAGAGTTGCCGCGATGAGATTAAGCGACATCGTGCAAGCCAGCCACCGAAGGGACAGATGATTTCCCATAACGGCCCAGCCCTTAATTTGAAGGCCATGTAGCAGTGACGCGAGTGAACCCAAGCCGGATGTGCTGTAGACATATGCAGTGTCAACCGTGCACACCTCGCCGTCCTTCTCATTCCCACGTAGGACATGTCATATCCTACGAAAGGTCTGCGCACGTAGCAGATCCGTCTCATTCCAGCCCCTTTTCCCAGCGGATTTGAGTCCACTCTTAACCCCAAATTTACTGTCTTTCTTCCCCAGATACGACCCACCGACAATCCACAATACCGGCACTAGAAGACGACCTACAGTACGACGATGCGGAACCGATCGCTAATTCGAGCAGCGACGAGGCCGGAAGGCGATAATAGTCCCGACCAGGTCTTTACCTACCTACAACTTTACGCCGATCTAGAGTATCAGGTTCTGATCTGCTGTAGACCCGAGTGCCGACACGCCATCTCACCACATGGAGCCCAGGTTACTGCACATCTCTGGAACAAGCACAGCGTTCCGCTAGCCGACCGATCAGGACTTACAGAGCATATACGCGACACCTCAAGGCTTCCGCAGGCCTACATATACGCTTCTACCGCCCTGTGGTTTCAAGCCCCATCCAGATCTCCAGACCTATGATGGTTTCAGCTGCCGCAAGTGCGTTTTCATCACGACGAGCTTCCACGAGCTTACAAGACACCTCTCTCACAACCACTTTAAACTGACTTGCCTGTGACCGAGTCCGACTCGAGTCGTTCTCTGCACACGGCCCTGCAGATCTGCATCGCAACAGAAAGCGCTGGCGGCGCCAGTCATCCTCGATCAAACCTGACCCAAGCCACCTACTGCTGCCTGAATCAAGCTTTGACCAGCTGACTGCTACCTACGTGGAGATTGAGGTCGGTATGTATTGCTGTTAGGTCTTGATTGTTCGCCAGGGGGCGGAAACATTCAGGCAGGAACATAAATGCGCCGGACAGGATATTGCCAATGTCTCGTTGCCTCGTCCAGAAGCCACCATACTCGAAATTTGTCAGAGCCATCAGTCGGCTTCCCTCAATGGACCCCTCTAGTTGCCATTTGTACCAGCGGTAGGTGAGACCGTAGGCAGCAGGATAACGGTATTGAATCTCAACATAATTCTGGGTGGACTTGGCGTGATGAATCCAGACTCAGCTCCGGTTGCGAGACGATTTGTGCGTGTCTGTTCTAAGGATACTGCTGAGGTCAGCTGAAATGCAAACAGCACAGCACCCAGACAAGACGGAGTCCTAGTACGAGGATTCCGCATAGATATATTCTCGAAAGCTTTCGGATGGCACCTGCCACGGAGAACGCTGGCCTACCACAAAAGGTGGTGTAATCTATTTCGAAGTTACGTGACCGAGATCACAAGGCGCCTTCCAGCACCTGAGCCATCGGAAGATGCTAGGATGCAGAGGAAAGCCCAAGGTATCATCACGCCCAGCAGCCAGCCACGACCACTGAGGGGTTGGTCGCCCAACGATCCTTCGTCTAAAGTTATCGGTCTGACCCTCCTGGCTCCTTAACTGGTCGCCATTACCCCGATGCCGCCTTGACCAGCCGTGAGGAGAGTCCTCCCATGGCTCCTGGCGGCCGTAGACCGTCATATCCAGCATCCCATACCTGCCACTCATGGGCTCGCAGCCACGGCCAGTGGTCCAGTAGGTCTCGAAGACACGGTCGTCCTGGCGTAGGTAACATGCTTTCATCCCGAAATTGTGAGGCCGTCGCGCTTGAGGCGCCCATAGGACTCCTTAGCCACTGAGTACCATGGCACATCCCAGATCATGAACTCGCGGTAGCGATTACTCTGAAGTAGGGCACGACTCTGATCAGCAACCATGAAGATCACTCGTACCGACTTCCGCCCCAAGAGCACGGCATGCTCGGCCTCCTCAAGGACATTCTTTGCATGCGCATCGAAGCCGAGCTGCGCCCATCCGGCGCCGTTCGGGCGCGATAACCAGCTCGTCCTCAACGGCCATTGCCGCGTGGCCCCCTCGTACCAACAGTCTTAACACTGTGCAGGGCGCAGTCAACGACGTTGCACGCTCCGTCAATCGCCGCCCCGACCGCCTCGAGCACCGACCGCGGCAGCACCACGGAAACTTGAGATATTCGATCAATATGGACAACAATTCGGCCAGGATCCAGTCGAATCTGCTGGACCGCCTTTCCGACATGGATCGCGCCTTCGACGCCCCCGCCAGCGGACGGCGTTGGCTGCCCATGCGAACTACCCGCCCTCTCACCGACAAAGGGCCAGGAAGTGACCGTGGCGAGCTACTTCACTGTGGACGGGAACATATTCAGCACATCTCACCCAAGCGCTACTAAATAAATGATGCACATAGATTTTGGTCATTACTCTAGCGTCGGCCGATACAGTGCGCTTGTGTCATGACACACGGAAGGAATTTCTTTACCTCCAGCGCCGAGGCTCACTCTAGGCTTTGCTGCGCAAAATCTGCCAAGTTCTCATGCCCCAGCTCAACGTTTATGCTCATTGTTCAGTCTGAAAGAATGATCTCTAGGATGAGACATCATGAGTAGACAGGTTTGTGATCCTACCCGCTTGATTTCACTCGTAACGCGGCTCTTGCAGATATTCAATCAGCAATAGCATGTCTCAGGCGCCACCTACACTGAATAAAAACCCTGGAGGACTGATCAGGAGTGAAGGGAACCTCAAATTCGTCTGGCTAGAAAAGAGACAATATAATGAATGAATGGCGGGAGCATCAACCGCTCGTTCTTGCCGTCACTATCGGCTTTCTCCTGCAACCCCTTGCCCCAGCCCAGGGCGAAGGCGACGCCGGGGCCGCCTGGTCCACCGGGATTGGTGATGATGGTGCCGCCAAAAGTCGGGTCATTCTCGTCGACGACGGCGGGCCGTTTGATGACGGCAATGGTCACGGGATCGAGTGCGTCATTGTCCGGATCCAGCCAGTCAAGGGGCACCTGGAGCTTCGCGCACTAGAGAGTGGCGTTGTAGCATGGCGTGAAGTCGAGGGTGCTTGACTGTGTGACCGAGTCCCAGGAAGTCGGTGAGGGACCAGGTGGCACTGGCAACTTGGGCTGACGGCCCAGAAGGCCTTCGCGACTGGTCCAGTGCACATGATGTGTGTGCTCTGATTCTGGGTATTGCTGTGGCTGACGTGGACCGCGTGGTGGTGTTCTCCACGCTTTGAGTTGAAACGGAGCACTGTCCGATCCTCTTGCTCACATCAGCACGCACAAGGCTCCGGTCGGTCGGGGGCTGTTCATTTCTCAGGACGAATCCCACAACAGAAACCCGCCAAAGCCAAGTTTTTATACCTGAGTCACCACTTCACAATGACAATAAAACAAACGCAGGACGCGTAAGACACAAGTATACGTACACCAATATGCAATTCTACAAGCTCGTCGTCAGCATCGCTTGGCGCATGTTAGATAACGGGCGTGCGTTCATCCGTGTCGACCGCTGGGTGCGGGGCTGCATTTATCAGGCAGCCACATTGTGACGCCGAGTCTGTCCATCAGGCATGGGTTTCCGACAGTATTGTCGACATGGGCGACATGGAGAAGTTCCTGAAAGCGATTGGTTGAATTCAGCTCTGATAGGGATTGACAAACCTACAGACTGGCTTACTTTGTGGTGTCTACACCCAAAGGAATAAGTCCCCCCCTGCTCCTCAAATCAAATAATGAGGAATACAGAGATGGAGTGCGGATTGTACAAGGCCAACGTAACCTGTTTCGCATATTTACGCAAGTGACAAGCATCTATTGGAAGATCATGATTCCTCTTGGAGACCGTACTCTCTCAGCAGATTTACCAAAGCCTCAGCCTCGTCTGCCTGCTCCGCGCATTGCAGCATTGCCGGATCTAGCTGCCGCGCCAGCTGAACATCCGCCCCTGCCTCGAGAAGTGCTTGAACAATGTCGAGAGAGCCATCACGCACAGCAGCGTTAAGTGGTGTCCGGCTTTGGGGGGTTGATAAGGGCTCCGATGTCCCTTCCTCCCCCGAACTGACTGTTGCACCACCCATGGAGTCCACACGCGAGTAGACAACATCGAACGCAGCGCCATTGTCAAGCAGGAGGCGGACATCCTCACAGATCTCTGATTCCACCGCCCATACGAGCGGGGTTCTGCCTAATCTGTCTTTCGTTTCGAGAACCGCTCCAAGTTCGAGCAGGCGGGCTGAGATGCCGCGCATAACACTCCCAGCGGCAAGAGCCAGGGCACTTGTGCCATAAGAATCCATCGTCTCCACGGCCACGCCACTGTCGAGAAGCAGGTGCGTCACCCACCGGCGATCAAGGGAGATGGCCTTGAGGAGGGGGTCTCTCCCATCCTTGTCCCTGGCGGTCAGGCTCGCGCCTCTGGCCACAAGAATCTGCACCACTTCGTCCTGCTTGTTCTCAATGGCGTGCAGTAGAGGCGTCTCGAGCTGGCCGGGCGATGTGGCCTCCAGAGACGCACCAAAGTCCAGCAGCTTCCACACGGCTGGAGCATTTTGACGCCCGACAGTCTGGCTCCCTGCCCGGCGCAGCAAGGGAGTCGAGCCATCGGTGGATTTCGTGTCGGGATCTGCGCCGAGTGCGAGTATCGCATCGATGACGGGAGCGGTGCCGGTGGAGAGCAGGTCGTGTAGCAACTCGGTGGGCAAAGTGAGCTGCGCCTCCGCGCTGTCACTGGCTCTACCATCCGGCGATCCGCTCATCGTAGAAGAAAGGAGCAGCTTAAATAAAGCAAGTGGTTCTTGCGCCTTGGCGCCCCGATTAAGGGCTAGTGTAGAGGCAATCGACAGCGAGCACCGCTTGCCCTGGTAGTCGATGGCCAGCGGATCAGCACCGGCTTCCAGCAAGAGCTTCGCTATGGCGAGATGGTTGTTCCCAGTCGCTACGCATAACGGCGTCAAGCCCTGGATGTCTCTCGAATCCACGCGGGCTCCGTAGCTCAGCAGCAGGCGGGCCATTTCCTCGTTGCCCACCTCTGCCGCCTTGTGTAGGGCAGATGATCCAATCGCGTTGCGCAGATGGACCAGCTTTGATGCGAATTGCGGTTGTGACTCGTCACACGGATGCCGTCGCACTAAAGAGGGATTCCAGTCTCTGCGCTCCTGTTCGAGCAGCAGCCGCGCAATATCCAGGCTCCCCTCGGACGCGGCGTGTGTGAGCGTCGTCTGGTTGTACACCAGAGAGCCAGGATATGCCCCTTGCTCCAGGAGCAGCTTCAGCATGGCGACGTCTTTGTTGAACACTGCTGCCGCAAGCGGCGTCGTATTGCGCTGGCCGCGCATCACGATGGCGTCCTCCGTGTGCTCGTTTGGGTCCGCACCGAACGCGAGGGCCCGTCGTGCTGGCTCGAGAAGTCCCAGCCGAGCTGCCCACCACAGCGGTGCCGCTCCGGCCGGGCCGTACCGCACGTGTCTTGCATAAGCGAAATCTGTGACGGCTGTGTGTATGAACCGACTCGCACATGCTAGGCTGCAGAGGACGTCCCGGGTCGATAGGTAGCCGGCGATTTGTACCAAGAGTTCGAGTGGCAATCGCGAGAGTGTTGCCGGAGATGACATGTCTTGAACGTTGCAGACCACGCCTGACATGGGACCGGGCCCTTGAGGGATGTTTATTGGCTGGCCTGGTCGATTTTTGTGGTGGAACTGAGATGGTTCGTACAGTCTGTAAAGCTGTTGATGGTCGATGACTTTGATGAGATCTTTGGATTGATGAGGCAGGAGCCGGGTGGGCAAGGCTTGAGCGACCTCTCTGTGAATCTGTTATCTTGAAGATGCACCGCAGCGGTTGCTGACATCGCTGCTGGCGGCACACTCGGAAACCAGCCAACATGTCAGCAAGGCAGGCATCCCCGGCTCCACCAAAGCTGAGGTGAGCAGACGTGCCCCATCCCATACAGTCGCCAGGCAGTTCCACTAGGCAGTCAAGGGTCAGATGCTGGATGTGCTTAGCTGCAAATTAAACTCGGCGTGCAAGCCGGGGGACTTATGGGCATCGACATTGGCAAACGTGCCCCGCATGATTTTGATGCGTTGTGTGAAAGCTTCGGCAGTGTCAGCAGGGGAGAGGGGCATGGCAGTCGCGACCCCGTGAGTAAAGTAGTCGCTGTCGAAGCATTGGTTCGTTGATAGCGTTGACAGGATGGTCCCCATGAGTTCAACACTCGGCGACGATACTCACCCCCCACCCCCCCCCCCCCGGCGCCTTCATCACGACAGCAGCTGACAAAGGCGGCCATCGCGGCCAGGACCAGGGATGAGAATTGCATCTTGAATTTTGAAGCTGGCGTCGGTTGCAAGCGGCGTTGTCTGCCAGCCGGCCGGTTGTCCTCGCAGCTCACGCCACGCAGTTCACACTGGAAGAGCGGATCGGATGACTGACAACAGAGGTAGACGACATTAGCTGCTGCGTGTAGAGGGGGGAAAGCGTGGGAATTCGAAATTCTCCTGACTGAGACCCGAAAAACGTGGCGTGCTGGCGGCCAACATGGCGTGCTGAAACCAGCAGATCGTGGCTTGCTTGCGGGCGTCCCGTCTGGGCAGACAAGGCGGCACAAGGGGTGGAGGGGTCCAGACCACCAAGTGAGCATGAAAAAAGGTACAAAGCATTGTACTGGCCCATTCGTCTGGGGCCGAAAAGCCCCTGAAGCGATGCCCATTCAGGGTTACAGTGGGGGCGCAAAAATAACGCGAATTTCTCCACAAACGCGCATCGACGCGCTTCTTGCCACTTGCAACCCATTCAGCACCACCACCTTCAATCGACCATGGCGACACCACAACGACCGCTGAAGCCATTCAAAAAACATTCTACTCCTCGTACGAGGAATCGCGTTTGGGCAGCTTTTTCTGCGGGCAAAAAAGCTGCCCTGATCGCCGAGGATGAAGGCATTCCTGTGAGCCTAGTGTATGGCATTAAAAGACGGTTCACCGCGCAGGATTGGGGGGTATCTCCTCCTGGCCGAGGGCGCCCTAGCCTCCTTACCTCGCACGACAAAAGGCGCCTCCTTACCTCGCACGACAAAAGGCGCATTAAGGATGCAATCAATCAAGACGCTTTCATCTCGATTAGAGAGCTAAAGAAACGGGTAACTCCTCATGTTTCTATCGACACTATAAGGCGGTACCTCAAGGCGGACGGAATCATGCACCGTAAGGCTGCACAGCGCCAGCTTTCTAACAGAAGACCATGCTCAAAAAAGACTCCAATTCGCGCAGAAGCATCGTGATAAACCGCCTACGTGGTTTCGTCGCATTCTATGGAGTGATGAGTGCTCTGTTCAGCGCGGAGATGGGCAGAGTCAGAAGTGGGTTTGGCGGCCAAGAGGTCTGCAAATCACACCTACCTTCAAACCACGATAACTTAGTCCACAACTAACCATTTCAATCCGTTCCAGGCTCAAAAGCAATAGATCCCAAATATGTACAAGGCAAGACAAAGAAAACGCGGCATTCCCTTATGTTCTGGGGCGGGATCCGGTACGGAAACCGGGGGCCACTTGTCGTCCTCCCGGGAGACCCTGACGCTAAGAAAGGCGGTGTGACGGGCGCAGTTTATAAGGACCATATTGAAGAATACTTGCCGACGATGCTTGATTACGACACTATCTTCATGCACGATAATGCGCCTGTTCATACGGCCAAAGTGGTGAAGGAATGGCTTGATAGCTCTGGGATCGAGGTGCTTGAATGGCCGCCATATAGCCCAGATCTCAACCCCATTGAAAACCTCTGGTGGTGCCTTAAAGACCGCATCTACAAGGCCGACCCTCAAATGGCATATATGACGAAGTGCAAGGCTTCATTAGATTACCTTGAAACAGTCGCAATGGCTGCCTGGGAGCAGATAGAGGTTGAGCTTGTTAACCGCGTTATCGACAGTATGCCGAAACGACTAGCCGCGGTGATAGCCTCAGACGGCTGGTACACCAAATATTGATTACGTCATCAGATGCAGCATTTGAAGCACTACAGAATGCACTACTTACCACCATAATAGCTGTCGAAATGGCTTCAATACTAATAAGTGAAGTTGGTGCATGTGGTGTGGTGGTGCGGGCCGGATTTGGCGTTTTGCGTTATTTTTGCGACCTCCCTGTAGTCTAGGAATTATTATCTACAGGCCCTGACGGAGCAAGCCTTCAGGGTCATTCTGCAAGTGGGCGCTCAGCTTTTAGGGCTGCCGCTTCTGTCTCTGTGTCCTACAGGGGCTTTCAATTCGCAAAGCGCTCATTCTTCGCTGCGTCCTCCCGGGACACATGCGCAGGTCAGCCCAGGGTACTCAGGCTCAGGCTAGTACTATGTCCGCGCTATCGGCCGAATAAGTCCAGTGAGCATTGGGATTCTGTCCCATCGAGCGTGGCCGATGCGGAATGAGAAGGACCCCGGTGACTGCTGATGCTCGGCTATGAACATCGTTCGTCTGCGATGTTTGCCTGTCTGCTTACTTGGAAGACGATCGCTATGCGCCAGAAGAGACAATAGCGCCCATTTTGCCAACACGGCGCCAAATTTCTACGCATTTCCCACATTTCCAGCACGCGTTTTCGGTGGGGAATCGCTTTGGTCGTGGCCATCCCCCCAGAATCACGGCCCAACCCCGCTGTCAATCACAGTCGATCATTTTGCTCTGTGATGGACCCTGAAGCTCCGTCTGCTCTGGACATGCAAGCTGTGGAACCGCGGACAAGGGCGGACGGCAGTCACATGTTTCTTACGTAATCACGGTAAGGATACCACCGGTCGTGCATGAAATGCATGACCGTCGGGGCCGCCAAGACTGACGGCCACCAACCAACAGGAATGACCGTCGCCAGCAGTCAGGCATGACCATGCACGACCATCCCGAGAGGCATTGATGAAGGACAAATACATAGAATAAGGATCTCCTAGAACAGACTGTCACTGCCTTTGTACTTCAGCAATCAATCTAAGTATCATTCTCACCCTACACTTGACCTAGTCACTCAATTGTTCGAGAGTGATATCTCTTCCAAGAGACACGACAAACCCCAAGAGAAACTACAGCAGGAGTTAGTGACATTGCAAAGGCTTTACCAATCTTTCAGAACAGCAACCCCAGCGCCCTGCCAGACGGCTGACGCCGGAGGCAGGATCGTGACACGCCTTTCCAAGGTGTAGGAGTCTAGTAGGCGGGTTCGAAGGGATATCTATAAGGGCTACTAGTACCGCACAGTTGGCGTCCTCGAAGATCTACAGCCATCCCGTTCGGTCGAGCCATGGCTTGCTCTGGGAGATAGCAGCCCGCCTATCATTTGGGTCTTTCCTTGCCGTATCGTAGTCTGAGATAATAGGCCTTCTTGGCGTCTGGAGAGAATGCGATTCAGCTATACGGTCAGGCACTGGCCGGACTGTACTCCCATCTGCACCAGTAACGGTCCAATATCGTCGATCAGGCCCGCCCGCCCAAGACTGTAGGTAGACGTCGTCGTAGAGAAGGCTAATTCGCGGCCGGGTCGCGGTTTCCCCGTGAAGGTTGTTATGAGAGAGGTGCCTTGTAAGCTCGTGGAAGCTAGTCGTAAAGAAGACGCACTTGCGGTAGCTGAAGCTATTATAGGTCTGGAGATCCGGATGGGGTTTGGAACCACAAGGCGGCAGAGCTGCATCTGTAGGTTTGCGGAGGCCTTGAGGGTAGTTATCGCGTATATGCTCTGTAAGTCCTAATCGGTCGGCTAGCGGAACGCTATGCTTGTTCCAGAGATGTGCAGTAACCTGGGCTCCATGTGGTGAGATAGCGTGTCGGCACTCGATTCGACGGCAGATGAGAACGTGATATTCTAGATCGGCGGAGAGTTGTAGGTACGTGAATACCTGGTCGGGACTACTATCGTCCTCCGCCCTCGTGGCTGGTCTGATTAGCGATCGGTTCCGCATCGTCGTACTATAGGTCGTCTTCGTAGTACCGGCATTCTGGACTATCGGTGGGTCGTATCTAGTGAAGATTCGGGGTAAATTTGGGGTTAAGAAGTGGACTCAAATCTACTGAGAAAAGGGGCTGGAATGAGACGGATCTGCTACGTGCACAGACCTATCGTAGGATATGACATGTCTAACATGAGAATGAGAGAGACGTCGAGGTGTGCACGGTTGTTACTGCATATGTGGGGTATGTGGAACCCTCGAAGTTGACTCAATTAGGGGTGGAATAAGACAGTAGGATGCCTCCGCGCACGGGGCGGGTAAATCCCTACTTCGAAGACCTGATTCACTAACCGCGCTTGCTAGCGACAGCTCGCGTAGTCCTATATAATATTCTTAAGTGTGATAGACTGACGGGTCTACTGCGGCCAGGACACCAGTAGGAAAGAAGGCTTCTCTAGGCGGCTTTATACTATATATCAAGGAGTGCTTCATGCCTCGCTGGAAGTATCTTCACCAAAACGTGACTTGAGTCCGAGCCTGTCCTACATGACAGGTTGGTTGTGCTATTCGAAGCTCATCGCGATCTCATGCTTGATAGCTTGCTTCCACTCTGGTGGGTGCTGCTTAGGCCCTAGCGTGTTACGACACCCTGGGCCCTGCCGTCGACGATATAGGTAGTGGAAGGGGCCCATCGTCTCCTCTGCCCAGTACTGATAAGTCCTGTAACCCTGGCGTAGCTGGTAGTTGGGGTACGGCGCGTGGACGAGCACCCACTCAAGTTGTGGCAGCTTAGCCTCGGCACTGGCGAGCAATGAACCTAGGTCGTGGCTCAGATCATGTTGAGGTACTGGGTTATAGAAGCGAGGGTTGGGGATACTCGTCCAAAAGTATCGCAGGCTGGGGGGTAGGTAGTCCCCTAGATCCGCGAAGTCTGGTGGGATGTATGCTTTGTCGTGATCTCCGGGGTAAGCCCCGACGCCGTCCTTAGGGCGCTCAAAGTATGTCAGCCTCGACATGGGTGCACTGAGCCACTCGAGTTTGATGTTTGCCGCCCGTAGGTTACCTAGCACCCCGCTGTCTCGTTCCTCAAACTGGCCGGCCGCTGTCTTGTATAGTTGGAGCTCGAAGCGGCGTAGTCCGGTCCCGTATGTCCTGATCGCCTCGCCGAGCGGACCGAAGTCGATCCTAGCGCGGGGATACTCGTCGTACGCATCCGCATCCCCAGGATCCACGTCTACGACAAGGCTCCTCAGGTCAGAGCCGAGTTCCCTCAGGACGAGATCGCGGATCACTAGACTACTGCTCTTAGAGTTTCGCGGCGTGCCCGGGAAAGCAGCCGATCTGAGCTCGAGGTGCTGGATATGAGGCGCAATCGGCCAGGGTCGGGCTGGTGCCCCTGGGTTAGATGGTGCCGAGCCTCCTCTGCCCCAGCTGAGATACGACGTGTAGCAGCTCACGAGGCCTTGGAACGAAAGAAATGCCGAGACTGCAGCATTGCTCACGGTCCCAATATCGTTCTCCATAGGAGTAAGCTCAAGCATATGGAGACGCGAGAGGGGAGAAGGTAGTCGTGCCTGCAGGCCTCGATCGGCCGTGCCGAGAGCATGTCCACAGAAGGAGAAGAATCGTGCAAGGAGTGAACCGTGGCTATCTGCAACGACGCGCAACGATGCAAACTCGACCTGGTCTGCTAGGGTGAGTGACCAGATGGCGAGGAGGTCATAGGAGAGTACATAGTGCCCTCGAGATCTGGAAACATCGACACTGTGGGGCCAGGTTGTTGTGACTTCTCTCGCTTCGACGATCAGGCTGTCGAGAAAGGTACAGAAGCTGGTCGAGTAGGTCTGCTGAATCTGTGACTGGATCGCCGGGTCCTCGAAGGCTTCGAGGAGGCGCGCTACAGGTAAGGGTGTTCCCTTCAGCACCAAGTGACGGACAATCTGGATTTCATCCGGGCGGCGGCGCAGGTAGGTAAATTCCTGGCTAGAGCTGAACTGGTATCCATCGCAGAGAGGATCAGTCTGCGTGAACTGGAGTGTTTGATAGATGAGTGGCTGAGCGACAGTTCGAAAATGAGACGAAACTAAGCAAAGCCGGCTTACCTGTCGCGAGTCCGCACCGCGATCAGCGTTGACCATGCACAGCTGCTCGATAGTGAGCAGAGTGTGAGCGAAGATCCGAAGTAAGAGTTCATCGGGTAATCGTTCGATATGTGCGGATGACTCCGTAGCCACTGAACCATCGGCCCCCATGACAAGAGTTGTTACTTGGGACGAGAGTAAGTAAGGTGGAGAAGCGGCGGCATGCCGGATGGCTCCTAGGTTGTGAGAGGGCTGAGATATAGCCGTTTGGACCAGGACCCTCTCTCTGCAGCCAACGAAGCTTTACTGTATCCCCCTCCTTGCCCCCCTGTCCCACCCCGCAACCATGCAATCTATAAGCAAGTAAGACATACAAGCAAGTAAGCCACACAAGCAGTTAAGCTACACAACCAAGTAAGCCACACACCAAGTAGATTGAGTATCTCCTGCTCTATAGTAGTATTACAGGCGACCTCTTTCTACCGTTGCGCCTACCAGGCGAATATAAGCCTTCCCAAGCTATTTATGGCTTAGCCGCTGCTTGGCCAGCCCTGTCATCTGAGTACAGTTCTACTGCCTCTGCCGTCTCTGCCGAACCTACGAAGCGCTTGTTTTTAGGTTATAATTCTGCAACTGATTAAATTACTATTTAAATTCAGCTCGCTCATATTATCTCTCCTACCTCCGTACATACTGTAACCTCTGCCTCCTGTGTTGGCTACTCTGGACAGCTTATCTTAAGTATGTATTACACGACTCGGGCAATTACCCCTCGTTTCCAGCCCGCCTCCGTGGCGTCGGGTCAAATCTGCTTTTCCTACTGCATATCCCTGCCCATGCCTGTCTCGGTTATCGTCTGCTAGTGCTCTCGGCCCCTCCTGTCTTCTGTAACTTACCCGGCCCGCTTACATTCTACTGGCTGACTGTAGGTATATAACCCTGCCTATGCACCTCGTACAGCTTATACCATGTCCGCTAAGTTGCATGTGGCTTCGCCGCAGCCTTGATAGTCCTGTCTCGAAGCCTCTTGCTTCTTCCTATGTATTCCCTCAATTCTGGCATTAATTCCACGGCTGGTACAATCATCCTTCGATTTCTGCCCACTCCGCCAGTCGGCCACTCTGCTATACACGCACCCCCAGAGCAGCAGTGAAGCGGCGCGCCAACCTTCGCCTGTGATTCTGGCATACACCTACCACTCTGCCGTATACCTGCCACTCCGCCAGTCTGCCATTTCTGCCATGGGCGTGCCCCAGATCAGCAGTGAAGCGCTGTGGCAACCTTCACCTGTGATTCTACCGTACACCTGCCACTCTGCCACTCCGCCAGCCCGCCAACCCGTCAGTCCGCCACCTCCGCTAGCCTGCCACTTCGTGACCCTATATGTCCAAATAAGCAGCCAGTCTCCTAGAACAAAAAGACCCGGTGGTCAAGCGGTACGACGCTGCTGGCAATTGCCTGGCAGAATCCCCGGTTCAACTCCGGGCCGGGTCACTTGCATGCTTTCAGTTTCATTCTGCTGCCGCGGCGTGAAGCTCGGGGCTTGCTCTCTCTCTTTTGCCTCCTTATACGCCGTCTCCTTATAAGCGGAGTCCTCGGTTCGACTCCGGGTTGTAGCGACGACCGTGCTTTACTCTCTGCTGTATATAACGTTAACTTAAGTTAACGTAAATGCATAGCGAGTGGGCCAGCATAGCGAGTGGGCCACCCCCACCACATCTCGAGAATCAAAACCTCGTCAGCAAAACCAAAACGTCTTGAATTGATATAAACTAATCGCTATCTTCGAGTTCAGACCCTAGAGTAACTATTTGGCAAGTTCTCGCATTATGGCCAGTCATCCCGCAGGTACCACAGCGGCGCTGCGTTGGCGTAGTGCCGCCTGCATGACCTCGATTTTCTTGCGTTTCCTGTGTTATTTGAGTGTTCACCTCTCTATGGGCTATAAGGTCCTGTCCCTCGCCTAGAGTCATGCTCTGGCCTTTCCGGAGACGTGTTTTCTTAGCTCTCCGGCGCTTACTAAGTACTGCATTCTCGTCTTCAAGCATCTTCATCCTTGCCTCCATTAGGGCGAACCGGTGCATGATCCCCTTTGCTCCCTTCGTGAACTGCTCAACTGCTTCAATAATTGACGTTGGAGAGCTTCCCTGGTGACGAGAGATCCGACGTTTGATGAAATTAGACTGTGAACGGGCTTCCATAGCGGTGGTAGGCGTTCGGGAAGTCCATGGCTCCGGTGACGTCCGAGGCGTCCTCGAGGGTGTTGGCGTCTTGAACTTCACATCGAGCTTGGATAAAACGGCTTCAGGGTCATAGGGTACAAGTCCCGCCCCTCTGAAGCCTCCCTGGATGTTTTTTTCCGTCATTGTCTGCTGGAATGCCGCTAAAAACGAGGGGAGGAAGTCCTCCTTGCTGATATGCGTTGTACCCGTCTTCATCTTAAGCTCAATTTGCCGACCGTATGCTTTCTTCAGCGGACCAAAACAGCCAACATCGAGAGGCTGGAGTATATGAGACGAGTGAGGAGGCATACAGAGCGTAATAATGTTGTTGTCCTTACAGTAGAGCTCGAATTCGACCGAGTGGTGACTTTCGTGGCCGTCGAGGACGAGGAGGCGATAACCGCCTTTTGTTCGCGACTTTGTGTGCTGATCGAAATGTCGAATCCAATCTAGACCAATTTCGTTTGTAGTCCAGCCGTTTGCGGATGTTACGATTCTCTAGTCGCGAGGAATCGCGTTATCTTGGCACCAGGTCGAGAGGTGATATTTGCCGGCAAATACTACGAACGGCGGGACGTAGAATCCAGTCGCGCTAACGCCCTGGATTACCGTAACCCATTCCCGATTACCTGGTTGCTTCATCTTAACGTTCGACCGTATTTGCGCGTTTGTAACGACCATCCCGGTCGCGATAACGCCCATCTGAAAGCCTGTCTCGTCGAAGTTGTCGATATCGGAGTCCGCTACGCCGTTTTTCGCGACTACGTTCCGCACAAGCCGAAACCACGCGTTTATCGCGTCGGGATCCTCGCATTGGGCTCTCTTGTAGTCGTACTTGCGAAAGAAACGCGTCTGGAGCTGTGGTTGTCGCTTAACGAAGTTTGACGCCCATCGTGGACCGACGCGTGGCGCAGCCCGCTTATCGAGCAGTCGATTCGCCATTTCTCCAAGCTCACTTAGCCGAGGAGGATATGCTCGCGCATCCAAGTCGAGAATATAGTCGACAATCGTCTGCTCCTCTAGCTCTGTTAATTTCATCGAATTTGGTAGGCTATCGCGTCGAGAAGGCGTCCCCTTATAGCGGCGGGTAAGCGTTGTTCGAGAGACGTTGTAGATTGCAGCTGAGCGGCGTATAGAAAGGGAAGGATCACGGTCCATAGCTTGAAGTGCGAGATTCAATTGGTTATCTTTAGAAGGGGTCTCCATGGCTGGTTGTTGAGTAAGATGTGTTAGAAGATGGAATTCTAGTGAAGTGATGGAGGTGGCCCACTCGCTATGCATTTACGTTACCCATAGATTTCTTGCCCTACGGAACCTCCTCGCCGTGGTCTGGGAAGGTGAGACATAGTGTCTGGCAGTGTAGGTGCGGGCCATTCGTAGGCGAATCGACATTTGTATCTACATAAAGCTGGTCAATGTATCTCTCGTTTAGTTACACTTCCTGTCAAGAATTTGCCCGAACCTTGCTTGTCTCAGCCAGCAATATGTATGACCTGATCTAGCGAGACGAAGCTTAGCTAATTGCCTCCCCTACCATCTGGCGGCAAGGAGTAAGCCGCTACCAGGCGCTCTTCCCACTTGGTATGTAATACAACTTCCTACATATTGTTGCCCCTCTGTTCATGCAAGTTTAAGTCCGCGTCGAACCACGTCCTCTCCTGCAGCAGGGACGCGGAGCGGCGTTCCGCCTGGTGCGCTGTGGCCGATGTCCCACCCCGAACAAGCCGTAGATAATTGTTTTTTTGTTTTTCTTTTGGGCCGAAGACGACGGCCCACAAGCCCAGCCAGTCCGACGTGCTGAGCTTGTGGGATGCCCCGTGACCGAATACCGAGGGAGCTCACCGCTGTTGTGGTGGAGTCCTGTTTCAGCACTGGGGCGGGGGCGGCTCTGTCGCATGTGTCCAACATCCACCATGTCCTGCCAGCTCCTCCTCCCTAAAGTGGCAAGTGGGGTGGGGCAACGCGGCTTAACATTCGTCAGGTCTTTGATAGGCCATCGCGCAGCACGCATCGTGCACGATTATGCCAAGCCCAATCGGAAGGATGATGATCATGATGGCACGTCTTTATTTCTAAGGTCTTTCGAACCTGTCTGCCATTTTTCGCGGTGCTATTACGTATCTGGCCCAGGTCCCCGTTGATCCCGTTAGAAAGCGAACGGACGCCAAGCCAATTGTTTGTTTACGTTCTGTCGGCTAGACCCCAGCATCTGACTGCACCCTTCGTCTCGCCCAGCTGGAGCGGTTTGTTTGTAGTACAGTAATCTTAAATGCGGTGTTGGGGTGGTTGGGACCGCTACTCACGCGACTTTAGGCACGGCTGCGGAAAAAGTTCCACGCCCGTGGAAAAGCTTCCACGCCTGTGGAGAAAGTTCCACGCCCGTGGAAAAGCTTCCACGCCTGTGGAGAAAGTTCCACGCCCGTGGAAAAGCTTCCACGCCTGTGGAGAAAGTTCCACGCCCGTGGAAAAGCTTCCACGCCTGTGGAGAAAGTTCCACGCCCGTGGAAAAGCTTCCACGCTCGTGGAAAACTTCCCCAGCGCCCCGCATTTCGCGAACCCCCTTTTGGCCAAAGCGACGTCTCTCAATCATCTTTGCGTCTTCATTCTCCGTGTATCACTGCCTATGGAGGCTATGAAGTATTTTGCCCTGGGCCGGGCTAAGATCGACTATAAAAGTGACGGTGCCCCACCATGCGGTTGGACATTTCCTTCATTCGAAGATTTAGAACGCATCGTGTCAGTGTTTGTCAGCCGACATGGATACAAGGCCAGAACGAAGGAGAAGAGGGAGAGGACCCGATTCTATGTCTGCGGATATAAACAATGTCCCGTTGCGTGGAGCGCACAACGAGTGGTCGACAAGTTTCCTCCGCTCTCAGATTCGCTTGAGGTGGTCCGCATACAATATTCAACCACGATCAGCCACAACCACCAGCTTACCGCTCGTCCGGAGCCAAAACCCCTTCCAGTCGATATGATCTGGCTCGGAGTCCCATTTGGCCCCCTGGTTGAGGAGGGTCGATCTGACTCCGCTAT